ACATACTGAATACAAATATAGGCCTATGCATTGTTTGTAAACGTGTTGCAGATTCAAAATAACCATTGGGTGTAAATACTTTTATAGAGTGCAAATATTTTTCTCAGTCTCTACTATACATTTATTTCTAGTAGCGCCATCTTTTGAGAGCAGATCAATAAAAAAGTTTTTAAAAGAATTTGTAGGCTTAAGAAGTCCATTGTAATATTAATTTGAATATGATAGAAAACAGCCAGAAGTGGGTTGAAAATGGCCAGAATTTTTTATAGTTTTCATTCCACTTATGCAGTTTTCAGAAAGAACCAAGTAGCTCTTAAAAGCTAAGCAAAGAAATACATTAACACATTGGACAAGGAATGAAAAGAAGAAATACAATCAAATGGAGAGGATCATTTATCTTATTATTTGACCCAGGTTAAAAAAAAGACTTACAAGCCACTTTTAGTAAGACCTAAAATTTGTCTGTATAGACTATATCTATAATGAAAACTGATAAAAGTCCATACTTTAGAAATACCCGATGCCAGCCATGTTTTTAGTTATAAATTATGAAAAAGAAAACTAAATACATTTTTGTTTGAGAAAACTATATTCTAAAGTGGTTTTTTATAAAAATGTAATTATTTATTATCTTAAGTTTCTTCTTTTTTTGAAAATGGAATGTTTTTTAAGAACAGATCAAGAATTTAACAAAGAATAAATCTAAAACAAATGGATTTCTATAAAATGTTAAAATTGGTTGAAAAATCATCAAACTCTTTATGTACTCTTTGTTTTATTAGATGTCATTTGAATGAAAAAACAAGTAGACAAATTGGATATCTGGTCAGAAATTGTCCTAAATTAGAAACTATCGATCTATCTTGGAATTATAGTATGGATACTGGATTTTTTTATATTTGTCAAGGACTTCAAATATCTTCAAATACTTTAAAGAATCTTGATTTTAAAAATTGTCATTTAAATGAAGAACAATGTATAAATTTGGGAAATCTTTTTAAAAAATGTTCCAAAATAGAAGCAATCAATTTATCCGAAAATTATGAAATGGGAAATGGTCTTTTGAACATTTGTGAAGGACTTGAACAATCATCAAACACATTAAAATATATTAATTTGTCATTTTGTGATTTAAATGAAAAACAATGTAAACATTTAGGAAATCTTATCAGGACTTGCTCCAAAATAGAAGTGACAAATCTATCTAACAGTAGTAAAATGGGAAATGGTTTTTCTCACATTTGTCTTGGACTTCAATCATCTTCAGACACTATAAAACATCTTTATTTTTACAATTGTGATTTAACTGAAGGACAATGCAGAGATATAGAAAATCTACTTAAGAATTGTTCTAAAATAGAAACATTAGATATATCTGAAAATAGTGGCATAGGAAATGAATTGTTTAATATTTGCCAAAGTCTTAAAAATTCATCAAATAATTTAAAAATGCTTGATTTAAGACTGTGCAATTTAAATGAAAAAGAAAGTAGAGAGATAGGAAAGTTTCTGAAAAGTTGCTCTAAAATAGAAACAATAATTTTATCTAACAATGAAAATATGGCAAATGGGTTTTTTGAAATTTGTCAAGGACTTGAAAAATCTTCAAATAATTTGAGAAATCTCGAGTTACAGTGGTGTGATTTAAATGAAGAACATTGTAAAAACTTAGGAAATCTTTTGAGAAATTGTTCTAAACTAGAAATAATTGATCTATCTTGGAATAGCAACATTGGAAATGGTCTTTATCATATTTTTATAGCAATTGCAAAATCACTGGATACTTTAAAGAATGTCTCTGTTAGAAATTGTGATTTGAATGAAGAACACATTTTAATGATAAAGAATTTACTGATCAATTATTCTAAAATCTCTCTGTAGAAAAACAGAAATGAAAACTTTACCTTTACCAAACTCCCTTTTTATACAATCACAATACAAGTAGCAGTTTCAGAATGTTTGCATAAAAAATCTTATTCTTGCCTGAGAAATATAAAATATGGATGGAAATGTCTAGAACTAAAGGAAGACTTTTGATCACAAAAAATTATATTTTTTAAGACTACTTGTGGACAAACTTGAAAGGTTCTATTTGTTTGAGTACCTTGGTGAGTTAATAAATCATTGGAAAAGACAATTCTTGTTCTGAAGAAGCAGAAATTCCTATAATTGCATTACAACAAAGTACAAATCTCTATACTGGCGTACAGGAATTTATGACTTTTTGTCAATTGGAAAATATTAAATTTGAATAATATAATATTGATTTATAATAGATGGAGCCATAATATCTAACAAAATCTTAGTCTTATATGAATATTTATCAATATATTTCAGCAGTAAATAGTTAAAATATAAAAATTATTAGAAATGAAAAGAAAATACTAGAAAAAAAAGTGAAATATTAATAGAAAATTAATAACTTATGAGCAAGATTTCTTGGATAATGATCTATACGATTGATATTACATTTTGTAGTTCTACAGCAATTTTCACATTTAAACCAATCACAAGTCTCGAAACAACTATTTTGAGTATTATTTGGGCATGGCCTTCTTGAACAACCTCTTTCATAATCTTCTGCTGTTCTCCTTGAGCAACAGTCACCAAAACCACATTTAACACTAGATTTTTCTTTTGAGAGGTAAATATGGTCTGTACAAAACCCTCCCTTACACTTATAACAATGCCTACCACATTTTGTATTATAATTCATTAGATAATGATTTTTTTTACATTTGAAACACTGTTTCCCATAAGTACATACTTGACAATTATCAATTGGACAATGAATACAACCCGATTTATCGCCTTTTAAAGCATAGTATGGTTTACATGTTAAACATTCAGACAGTTTATAAATATAATCTGTACATGTATGACAATTATTAAATGTAACACTTGAACATATTTTACAATAACCATACTTTCCAAGAGAATATGTTGATTTGCATTTAGTGCATATCTTATTAGAAGAACATTCTAAAGCAGTTGGTGGACATTTAAGACATTCCTGTTTATAAAGATAATAATTTGGGAGACATTTGTTACAGTATACTACTCTTCCACTATGTGATGAACAATGTAAACAATTTGGTTGACATTTTACACAAGTTGTTTCAGTTTTATAGTATCTATCTTTACATTGAATACAAACTGCAAATCTGATATCAAGTGTAGGTGATGGACAATTTAAACAATTGAAATCTAAGCAGGGACGACATTTTTTAATTACATTATCTGTGATCACACCACTGCTGGGTAAGCATTCAGAGCATTTTCTTACAAAAAGTTTCACATTTTCTACATAGTAATAATTTAGGAGAAAAATAGTAATTTTCTAGACAATCTTCTTGTTGACAGCTAAGAACTTCATTACCTGCATGTCCTTGACAAGTTTTACAACCATCTGGGCATTTTTTGACAATAATCAAGACCATGATTCAAAGCATACCCATCAACACATCTAAGGCAATATTTCTCAAAACTCGTATCCATCTGATGACAATTTATCATTATCTTATGACAATGCCTATTAGAGATAAAATATCCAGATTTACACTTTCCATCATCACATTTCCCTTCGCCTGTTACAGAACATTGCAGACAGTTTCTGCTACATGCTAAAGAGAAAAAAACATAATTTAACTCATTAGATGCCTAATTTTTTTGGATTTATTATAAAAAAACATTATACCTCTACAAACATTTGCAGTTACATTGAGTACGTATTCTTGTTTACATATTCTTGGTATCAATTGATTTGAATTTAAACTTTTATATTCACAATACAAAACAGAACTTCCGGTACAGCTAATACATTTTCCATTGCGTTTATCCTTAATAAATCCTTTGTTACAACCATCTCCTAAACATGTAAACTCATCTGTACACTTTTTACAATTAGAAGTGCATTGTTTACAATTTCCATCATCTGCTATGACAAATGACTCATTGCAAAGTAGACATTTATCATTCAGCAAATGGTCTCTAATACAAAGTTGACAATTTTTAATTGAGCATTTTTGACAAGTGAAATCTAGATCATTAAATGATGCACAATTTGAACAACCAAATTGTAAACATATTGTATTTTCATCATTATTTGGATCAATTCTACACTCCAGACATTTTATTGGATAGGTTGGGCATTGAATACATTTTCCATTTGAATTTTTAGCATAACCATAAGAGCATTGTGTACATTTATTACTTTCTGGACTGTCTAAATTCATTGAACATTGAAGACAATTTTCCTGGCATTTCATACAAGTTCCATTTCCAGTTGGAATTAAATCATATCCTACTTGACATTTTAAACATTGAGTTGTAATTGGTGATAAATTAAGCAGAGAGCAAACTTCACACTGAGTTGTAAAAGTTGAACAATGTAAACATTGTCTTTTATCTTCTGATAAAATATAATTATCAAGACATTTTGAACAACTACAAAAGTTGTTTACATCTATTAAACTATCAGATCTACAATTAGGTACATTTGAAAAGAGACAATTTTTTGGTGTAGTAAATTTAGCATCTTGATTTGAACCAGGTTTCAATGTTTGGAAATAAGTTAAAGTTGATATTGTTGAAGGTGGAATAATTTCTGAACAATCTCTTTTTGGAAAAGTGAATTTTCTATTATTTATGCATTGAGATCCTAAACATTTAACAATATTATTAACCACTTCACAATGCAATGGTTATAACTAAAAAACTTGGCATGTCACCAAGTCATAGATTTCCAGAATTAACTCTTTTTAGGTTATGGCAAGTTAGTTTTTGTCAAAAAAATGGGAGAGGCATTCTATCTGGAATGTGTGCAGACAAACTAATGCATGTATTTTTTAGGATAGGCTATGTCTTATTTACCTGGAAAATTTCACAATTTAAAAGTCAGAATAAATTCTCATATAAACAGTTGGTTTATGAAGTATCTCTCAAGTTCAGTGTACAATGAATGTTATTGTTAGAGCATTTTACACTATTCAAAGAAACGAAATGGTGAATAGTAAGGCCAAAAATAATCAGGAGGATGGTATCAAGTTTCCCCAAATGAAAAATATTCATATTAGGTGTATGGAAAAGGGTGAAGAAGATCAAGTTGCAAAAATCCTGGTTCATGGTTTTTCAAATGAATTGTTGTACGTTTGCAATAAGAAAGACTTTCCCAGTCTTGAGCAGTTTTATACAAAATCTATCAGATATGATGAAAATAGTACAAAAAACATAATTGTTACTGTTGATAAAAATAACAAACAAATTGCTGGAATTTGTAAAGTACAGGATTCGAACAGGTAAGACATAAATTTTTGATAATTCAAATTTAATTTTTCTTCATTTATCATCCTTTTCTCTTCAAGCTTGGGAAAAAAACTCTCGCTTTTTGAGATACTCAAAACAATACCAATAAGAACAGCTTTTTGGATTATCATGACTTTTTCATCATTTGATAAAGTATGTGACCTGATCCTTGAGGATGAACAAGTGGTGGAATCACTTACCATTCATGACAATTATAAAAAGCAAGGAATAGGGAAAAATCTACTTCGTCATGCTGAATGCATGGCTAAACAGAGAAAGTCTAAGGTACAAGTCAATTTTTTTTAAAAAGAAAAATACAATAACAATTTTCATTTCTTAGAAAATATCCTTGTTTGTTTATGAAGAAAATCCAATAGCTATCAAACTGTACAAAAATGAAGGATATGTCATAACACATACAATTTACGACTTAAAGTCTCTAACATTTGGTAATGAGGTAAGTGATTATTATTTGATTTTCCTCACTCTCTCCTCTTCCCCATCCCTCCACTTAATAAACACTATTTCTTTGTTAAACAGACCAGTTTGAAGATGGAGAAGACAATTTAAAACTACCAACAATTGAGAAAATAACAAATTTAACAAAAAATTAGCAGTAGTGTTATTAAAGTGCAAATGATTACAAATTGATGGAGTGTATGTGTGTTCACTTAGAAATAATAATATAGTGATATTTAGACCTAAGATATAATAGAATTCGATTTTTTTATTTCATAGCAATTATAATGGTGAAAGTTTAGAAAAAGTGTTACTTCACAGAAATTATAATTCTGGAGCTTTTGAAAGACTTTTAATTAGTAGAATATATGTATGTGCATAGTTTTCAATCCTGGCTGTTTTCTAACATATTCTAGTTAGACTTACTCAATAAAATCATAGTCAAATATTTCCAATTCTCTTTATTCAGTTTTTTCCTTTTCAATGATTCTAATAACTCCATATAAAAAGAAATTTCCTGTATATTAAATTTCTACAATGAACATTTTCTCCCTTGGACATTTTCTCCAAGCAGTGGGCATGTAACTTATACCTGTACCTCTTAAAACCTATGCAAGAAAATGCTTAACCCTTAGAGGAGACCCACCTAAGTACAAATCAGTTGCTCTCTTCTTCCTAACCATTTCTCAATCCCAATTTTTGTCTTGAAATTTCTCATTTGTGGATGTTTTCTGTCAACCCCGAAAAATGGCATTGATAAAAATAAAATTTAGCCTGAGAAACTTCAAAATCTAAAAACTCCAGAATTTAATGCAGGCAAAAACATTTTTTTATTATGATTTTTTGATAAAGGCTCAAGGTTAAAAGAAATATTTATACAAATAGATTCAAAGGGTAATAAGACAGTTAGAATAGTGTCAGAGTTAATGTTAAAGTAAAAGCTTGATAACAATCATAAAAAGTACAATATAATAAATTTGTGGATATTGTTAAGAATGCCTATGTTAATTCAGAAATATGGTTCATTTTCTACAGGAGGCCTATTTTCACAGAGATGTACCTAGATTTTGCCTTTTTTCAAAAAAGTCTTTCCCTTCTGCTGCATACTTCTAAAGGACTAATCCTTCTTTCATAAATTAGAAAAAATATGGCTAGAAAAATTTTAGTTTAGGGAAGAATTTAGATGTTGTGGAAAATTTTCATAAATCTATAATTTTACCCTAACCCTATCCTAGTCCTAATTTTTTACATATTCTTTTTGAACGTCCTTAATCCTTAGATGTGACCCACCCTAGAATATATCAAAAGGTTTTTTATTTCTCTTAGACATGTTCTTATCCTGAAATCTAGCTTTGAACTATTTCACACATGGCTGCAGTTACAAAAAGGGGACAAGTTTTCCCGCTCCCTTGGCAGTTGGGTACCATTTAAATTAGATTGTAAATATTTATAATTATCTATAGAATTGTAAAATGGTATGTGTACAGTTGCACTGTGCAAAATTAAATGGATACGACAGAAAATGTCCCCAAATTCATGGTTTAACCCTAACCCTAACCTAGCCCTTGTCTCTCTCTAACCTTTTTGATTACCCCTAACCCTTAGATGGAACCCTCCTAACTACAAATCAAAAGCTACTTTACTCCTGCTAACCATTTTTCAATCCGAAATCTTGCTTTCAAAAAACTCACTTGGGGACGTTTTCTGTCGGCCCCGTCTCTAACAATAAAAACTATTTCAAAATATGCAAGTGAACAATAGTCCATACGTAGTTGAATGGAAAGTTTCTTAAACTTGTCTGAAAAATTACAAAACTAGCTCACCACCTTATAGCTTATATAATTGCTTCTCAAGGAAATATCTGCAAAACTCTTTACCTGTAATCAACAATTATATAAATATATACAATAGTAGTATTTTAGAGGAATTTAACATTCTTTTACATGTGTTTTTATAACAATAAATATAGTAGAATAGGATTTACATATTGTTTTGTGAGAGAAATTTTTTTTGAAGGGATTTAAGAAATAATAATTTATTGTTTTTTGTATATATTGCTTTTTTCTTTTCAGAATAGTAACCCACATTTTGGAAATTGTACTTTTTATGGAAAGAATTTCAAATGTCATTTATTTACAAAAAATTCTGAAAGAGAAATTTTCAATCCACAGCCAATTTGTGAAAAGTTATCTGTGGGATTAGCATGTAAAACTTATTGACCTCTATAAAAAGTGATTAATCAAATGATAATACTATCATTATGTCTATAGCCTATAGATTATATAATAGCCCAGAGAAAATCTTATATTATGGTCAAAATCATACATATGGTAAGTTTGGGGGAAAATTTCAAATATTAAATTCCAATTGGCATAGTATACGTTATCTACTTTCCTATGAAACTCAATTAATATGCAAATCATTTGGTTTTAAATATGGAACAATAATGAATGAAGAAAAACATAAATTGAACGTGGATTTACAACTTATTGAATATGAAATTGAAAATGCAACTTTTCATAAGACATTCAAATGTGAAGGAAATGCTACATTACTTTCACATTGTAAACTTGGTAAAAGGTATTATTAAATATATGTTATCTAGAGCAATTTAAAGCCAACAATAGATAATACAAAAAAATGACAGAGATGATAGTTTTATTAGTAAACTCGGCCATCTTGTTTTACATCTTTTATACATTATAGAGTGCTCAAATAGAGCTGTAATTGGTAATTTCTTATTTTTAAAATATGCACATAATAGATAAATATACCTTAGCAATATACTGAATGTGTTGGTGAAAATATTGCCATTATATATGATGTTTGTTATTCTATTTATCATTTAAGAGAAGAACAAAATGTCATTAATGCTGAAAAATTCTGTGAAAGAAAAAATCTAACTTTATCAGACTATCCTACATTAAACAAAAAATTTATTCTTTCCTATTTAACACATATATACTTTATTTTATATCCTTATAAACAATATATTGAGTTACAAACCAAAGGAATTAAAGGACATGGTTACTGAAAAATATTTTGAAAAAAATGATTATTTTAGTCATGTTTCTTTTATATAAATAGTGATTTTGAGAAGACAGAATAGTAAATATAGAGAAACTTATATTTCAAATAGTGGAATAACTACAAAATTACCTCTTTATATTCATTCATCTGTTTGATATCAATATATACATATATACAGTACCGATAGCCTAACATTGAATGCCGTTTTTCTTTATAAAAATTAAATTTTTTTTCAACTTTGACCTAAGCAAGATGTTTTTATGAGAAATTAGAATGAAGACAAATTATCTACCTTTACTTGAGAATTATTAAAGCAGTATTTAATACAAACTAGATAAGAAAAATATATCTTTTCATCAATGAGGTGTTTTTATTGATTTTTCTATATTTTTTAAAATAAGAATAATGAAGTTGCAAAATAGTAAAAATGAAAATCATTTTGTAAAAGTATTAGATAATTTGTGAAAATTATTCTTGAATATTTATCATTTGACACTTTAGTTAATTAACCAATTTAGTCAATTTTTGCATAAATTAATAATTTTCTTTTTTCTATTGTGATAAACAAAATTCAAATCATCAACTCTACTCAAACAGCATTATTTGTTTGTCTATCCAAACAACTGTAATTTATAATTTTTAAATATAAACATCTATATATATATTTATATATTGCCATTTTACTTTTTCATGTATCAAAAACATTCTGTAACAGACAATAGAGCAAAAAAGGCAGTATGTTTTCTCAGAAATGCCACATCTTCCAAAGAAAAAAGCATTAGAGGAACTGTAAAAATCAATTTAATTTCTAAAAGCATATTGACAAATATTTTAAATTTATTTAGCTATTCACTCATGAATAATTTGCTCACAGTTGAAGTAAACTGTTTCAAAAAGCTTTTCAATGATATATACAGTACCGGCGGTAAGTCACTGTTACACCTCAAAAAAATAATATTTTCTTGATTTTTTCTCTTTCCGTACTTAAAGAATGAAAATGAAGGATATTATTATATTTAGTAATATTCTTTTTATCATTATAGAGAGAAAATATACGTTTTTCATTTCAAATCTTTGAATTATTGATATTTTAATGTGGTAGGCCTATTTTCTATGGGAGCATAAGTACTTGTTACAATCACAAAAATTACTCTAAAAGAATATTAAAAGTATTTTTTTGTTCTTATTTTTGACTGTTATTTATAGGATATTATATTTTTTAATGCCTTAATATTTTGTGTGCATACCGTTAGCTTCTACAACTGCCCTAAGCCTTCTTTCCATTGTCTCATATAAGAGTTGAATTTCCAATTATGCTTTTGTTCTGGCTGCTGTATGACAGCTAGCCCCATCCTGCTGGAAAATTTCCCTCTCCTATAATTTGGGACAACATGACTGCTCAAAATTTTGACATAATCCGAAGCTGTCATGTGATTAGACACTAAAGCTAGGCCCCTATCTCCATTGAACTTAATGTAGCCAAACACCATTATATTCCCTCCCCCAAATTTTACTGTTTTTGTGGTATATTTGGGGTCATTCCATTTACCTGGTGGCCTCCTAACAAACTCCCTTCTCCTAGGATGCAGTTCAACCTGTGATTCATCAGAAAAAATTACTTTTTTCCAATTTTCAATCCCCCAGTTTTCTCTCTCTCTACAGAACTCTTTCCTACTTATTATCTGCCTCTTAGATAAAGCAGGTTTTTTGGCTGCAATTCTCCCATTTAAGTTATTTTTTCATAGTACCTGCTTCACTGTTGTTAGAGAAAGAGATATTGGTATACCAGAATTATATAATACCTGATGGGCCATCCACTTGGGGTTTGATTTAGATGCCCTGGTAATTTGCCTTTCCATCTTTAGTGTCACTTTTTTTGGTCTACCACTTCTTTGCTTATCTTTTATCATTTTTAGCTCTTTAAATTTATTTTTTATATTTTGTACAGTAGTTGGACTACATTTAAAAAGCTTTGCCACTTTTCGAATGGACATTTCTGGTCTTTGAAGACAATTTGAGATAGAAATTCTTGTTGCTTCAGATAGCTTTCACCATTTTTATTTTAAATTTGTCAACTGTTAGATTACACATGCGCAAACACATAAATGACCTTAAAATCTGGTTAAAAGTGACACTACTCAATGATCAGGGTAAATTTTTTGA